TATTCCTAAGGACAATATCTACATTGTCTTTTTCCTAATGAATGATAACAGGCAGCCTATTCTCTATTAGATGGTGCCTCACGGTAAACAAGCACCATTTCTGGCAGCATCACCAAAAGTGTCACCAGAAGCATCCAATTCAGGCTCGCCTCCCAGTTGACCGTTCATCTCCCACTCCAAAGAGTCATTATGTTCCAATACTACAAGACTACACCAATTGTTCTGGGTTAATCCTGACTCAGGTTAGTCCCCTGGTAGTTTAAGTTTGATACTGGGACAAAATAAGACACTCCTAGGTCATTCAACAGTTAACAGAAAGAGATTTCCTTTAGCCACAGCAGAAGAAGGATAGGCATTGAGGACAACTCAAATTGGTTCAGTTGAGCTGAGCTACTTTGTCATAAGTATACACAATTACACATCAGCCAGGCATCCAACAGCCTCTGGAGCTCCTTACGGCTGTTTTATATGCTAGTAATGAGGAAATAATTAGTCCTCTAAATTGACCACGTTTCAAAGAATATCTTAATTCCACTTCAGGAAAAACTAATCTAACTTGCATGGGAAAAGGGATTAGGATAGTAATATCACAATAAACTACAACCAAAGCTTCTCACAAAAACAAAACTTGGCAACAAAGTCAACTAGGATTTCTGGAATAAGATGGAGTAAGAGTTTTAAAAATTATGTTATAAGTGGCATAAGAGCACTAGAGAAAGGAATTAGAAAGGAAATGAGAGCAACCCTAGGGAAAAGATTTGGAATGGAAATAAACAACAGTTCAGCTACAAAATGTTACCTAAGTAACAGACTCCCCGAAAATGAGAATGGACAAAACAAATCAAGAATTCCCTGAGACAATGATAAATACTGAAATAAAGTCAAAAGAATGAAAAGTGAAAAAATAAAAAAAATGTGTTATCTCCTTTCAATAACAGCTGGCCTAGAATACATGTCAAGAAGAGATAGCATGAAAATCATCAGATTCACTTAAAAACTATACCCCTCTTTAAAAAATAGATATTCTATTTCGAGAGATGCCTCCTATGTACCAGGCACTCTTAAGCACTGGGGATACAGAAAAAGGCAAAAATGTAGTCCTTTCCCACAAGAATCTCATGTTTTAATGGAGAAGACAACATGAAAATACTTAGATACATACCAGATATATACAATGTACATGGAAGGTTTCTAGTTCCTGAAGGAAGGTACTTGTAGTTGGTGGGGGGAGGGGTGCAGGAAAAGCTTCCTACAGAAAGTGAGATTTGAACTAAATCCTAAAGGAATCTTAGAAAGCCAATAATAGGCAGAGATGGGGAGAAAGAGCATTCTAGGAATAGGGAACATCCAGTAAAAGGTCACTGAGTAAAGAGATAGCATAATGTGTGAAAAACAGAAAGTCAGTATTGCTGAATAACTGCAGAATACATGGAGGGGAGTAAAGTGTAAGAAGACTGGAAAGGCTAAAAGAGGCCAGTGTATAAAGGGCTTTAAAAGGCAAACAGGATTCTATATCCTAGATGTAATCAGGAACAATAAGAATTTATTGAGTAAAACGGTGGAGGATCATTTTGGCAGATGACTGGAGGATAGCTTAGAGATGGGAGAGACTTGATACTACTAATTCAATTTCTAATAGTTTTGGGTAAAGTGAAAAGAGAGAAACTACTGATCCCTTCCTGAAAGAAAGCCCCAAATGAAAAATCCCAGAAACATCATAGCTAAACTCCAGAGCATCTAGGCTAAATAAAAAAATACTGTAAACAGGCAAAAAGAAAGAGTTCAAAGAGTCGCAGTCAGGAACACACAAGACTTGGCAGCATTATAAAGAAAAGGAGAGTTTAGAAAACCTCATTCCAAAAAGTAAAACATAAAGGCTTACAACCAAGAGCAACTTACTGGATAAAACTATATGATCCTACAGGGGGGAAAATGGACCTTTAATCAAAAAGAGGACTTGCAAGCATTCCCGATGAAAAGACCAGAGTTGAGTAGAAACTTTGAAATGCAAACACTAGAGTCAAAAGAAACACAAAAGGAAGTCTGTATGAGCAATTGGAAAGGGCTATGCGAGGAAAGGCTATACCTTTTAAAAGGGCGTAACTAAACAAACATGTGTCCCCTCACAGTCATAATGTTATCAAGGGTCACAGAGGATCTAAGAATGTTTTTGTTATGTTTTCATGGTCTTAGAGAAAACACAAAAGGGAATACACATGGAAGAAAAGGAGGAAAAAAGGAGTAAAAATATCTAAAATTAAACAAACATGAAGAAAGTCTGGGAGATTAGATGTCACTTGAGATTAACTTTCATCTGAACCAGACAATACAGACTAGAACCCAGAGAGAGAGAGAGAGAGAGAGAGAGAGAGAGAGGGAGGGAGGGAGTTTGGTATAAAAAACTGCATTTAATTCAACATGGAAACCATCAGAGAAATGGTGAGGAGAAAGGAAGGAATAAGAGAGAGATTCAGGGAGGGATTAGTCATTAGCAAAACAAAGTTCCAGTTCTTAGTATGGATCATGAAGGGTTATCTAAAATGAAAGAAAGAAAAGGTAAGAATGTGGTATCAGAGTCTGGATAAAGAGAAAAGGAGAGGGGCAGGGGAGAAAAAGCAGATTGCATCAAATATAGATCACCACTTCTGAGGAAACTCACTATCCACTTCCTAGTAAACAGGGAGATGGAGGAAAAGAGGGGAAAATATAAGAGGATATGATGGATGAAAATGCACAGTTAACAATCATAACTGTGAAGGTGAATGGAATGAACTCATCCACAAAGTGGAAAAGGATAGGAGAATGGATTAGAAAGCATAATTTAACATTATATGCTGTTTACAAGAAACACATTAGAAACATAAAGAGTCACACAAAGTTGAGATAAGGGACTGAAGCAAAGTCTATTCTACTTCAGGCAAATTCAAAAAACAGGTATAGCAATCGTGTTCTCGATAAGTAAACAGTAAAAGTACACTTGATTATAAAAGATAAACAATGAAAACTACAGTATGCTGAAAAGCACCTTAGAAAATGAATAAATATCAACACATAATTTAGGTTCATCAAATGGCATAGCATCTAAATACCTAAAGGAAAAGTTGAATAATTTACAGGGAGAAATATACAGCAAAATTATAATATTTGGGGATCTAAATGTACCCATTTCACAACTAGAAAAAATTAACAAAAATAAATCAAGAATTAAGCCAAGGACCTGAACAGAATTTTAGAAAAGTTACTTACTATAGGTCTTTGGTAAACATCAAATTCGAAAGAAAATATATACATATTACTCAGTAGTGTAGGTACAATACAAAAATTGACTATGTGTAATTAGGACATAAAAAGCAAAAAAAAATTAAGAAAAACAGAAATATTAAACACTGTGTTACATAAATAGCCTTTGAAGAAAGCATTAAATTAATTTAAAAATAAATAATTTAATCATAACAATTGTTGGGTCAAAGAACAAATATTGAAACGATAGATAATTTTGTCAAAGAAAATGACAACGAGACAACATACTAAAACTTTTGGGATATAGTAAAAACAGTCTTTAAGGGAAAATATATATTTCTAAACACTTTCATAACAAAAATGGGAAAGAATCGGTCAATTAGCTGGGCATAAAACTAAAAAACTAGAGAAACATCAATTTTTTTAAAAAATTAAACACCAAAACTGAAATTCTGAAAAATCAAAGAAGAGGTGAACAAAGTTGAAAGCAAAAAAAAAAAAAAAAAAAAAGCAAAAAAAAAAGAACTGGTCAAAACAAGGAATTGTTGTGGGGGTTTTTTTTAAACCAATAAACCATTAGATAAACCATTAGATAAACCATTAGACAAACCATTAGCTTGTCTGATTTTTTAAAGGATAAGGAAAATCAAATTGCTAGTACCAAAAATGAATAGGAATTCACAACAAATTAAGAAACAATAAAGGAAAATATTAGAAACATTTTTACCCAATACATACTAAGAAAACAATGTAATGTTTTGTAAAAACAATGTAATGTTGATGTAAAACAATGGTGATGTAAATAAAACGGCTGAATATTTGGAGGAAAAAAAGAACATAAAATGCCCACATTAAGAAATAGAGAATTTAAATAGCCCAGTCTCAGAAAAATTTGAATGAGCCACAAATGAACTCCCAAAGAAACAAAACTGGAGGACTGATGAATTTATAAGCAAATTCTATTAAATATTAAAATAATTAAAATTCAGGGGCAGCTAGGTGGTGCAGTGAATAGAGCTCCAGCCTTGGAGTCAGGTGGACCTCAGTTCAAATCTGGCCTCGGACACTTGACACTTAACTAGCTGTCTGACCTTGGGCAAGTCACTTAACCCCGATAGCCTAGCCCCTCCAAAATAATAATAATAATAATAATAATATTTCATTCCAACATTTCACAAACTATTTGCAAAAACAGAAAAAGAAGAGATTTTATCAAATTCCTTCCATGACACAAATATGGTCTTAATAGCTAAACCAGGGGAAGATAAAATAGAGAAAATATTAGATTAAAATCTCAAAAGGATATTGACACAAAAATTTTAAACAAAACATTACCAAATAGGTGATAGCAACATATCAAAAAATCATAAACTATTATAGGATTGGATTCACACTAGGAATACAAGGTTGGCTCAATGTAAAGAAAACTATAAAAATAACATGCCATCTTCATAACAAAAACAATCAGACTCACATGCTTACCTCAATAGATGGAGAAAAAGGTTTTGAGAAAGTACAATACCCATTTCAATTTAAAACACTAATCATTACTATGATAAGCAGTATCTACTCAAAATCAAAATCCAGCATCATATGTCATGGGGAAAAACTAGAGACTTTTCCAGTAAGATCAAGGGTAAAGCAAGATGTCTATTAACACAATTATTATTTGATATGGTGCTAAGAAACGCTAATGATAACTAGAAAACAAGAAAAAAATTGAGGACAAGGCAGACAGCATAGATTTACTGAGTACTTACTATGTGGCAGGAAGTGTGAATATGCTGAGAAACAAATACAAGCAAACAGAAAGACAATCTGCTCTTAAGTTATTTACAATCTAATGGAGGAAGACAATACACAAAAGGGATGGAAAGTGGGTGTTGAAGGTAACCAGTGTGAAGACATGGTGTTTCTCTGGAAAATCAGAAGTACAGCCAGAAGAGGAAGAAAGTCAGGAGGCCCCAGGGGCTGATATTCCAGGGTGAGACAACAGATGAGTCATGATGTTGAAGTCTGAAAAGTCAGAAACACAATCTGGAGAGGAACAAAAAAGAAACAAATTGATTGCTTTTTACAGATGAGATGCTGGAGAACGCTAAAGAGCCAAATAAGAATTAATTGATAAAATTAATAATTTCAATGGGCCGGACCTGGAGTCAGGAAGACTTATCTTCCTGAGTTCAAATCTAGCCTCAGACACTTACTAGCTGTGTGACCCTAGTTAAGTCACTTAAACCTCTTTGCCTCCATTTCCTCCTCTGTAAAATAAGCTAGAGAAGGAAATGGCAAACCACTCCAGTATCTTAGCCAAGAAAACCCCAAATAGGGTCAAGAAGACCAGGACACAACTGAAAAATGACTGAACAACAATAACTTCAATTAAGAAGCAAGCAACAAAATAAGCCCACACAAATCACTATCCTTCTTCCTATTTGTTACCAAGAAAACCATCTGCACATGCCAGAGGAGGAAATGAAGGGTTCTAGGTCCAGAGTTCCTACAGAATCTTTGAGTCTTAACACAGTGACTCACCTTACTGGATGGGTGAATAAGACATCTACATAACTGTGTTACAATGTCAAAAATGTCTTTGCCTACTCAACACAGGATTAAAATGTATTTCCTAGAATTCCTAGATCCAAAACAGTTGCACTTTCTGGGAACTTACAAGGGTCTAAGACAGTTCTTAAATTTTTTTTTTTAATCTCAGGACCCCTTAAATCAAGGACTCTCTAAAAAGTTCTTGCTTAGGTAAGTTATGTCTATTGGTATTTACTGAATGAAAAATTAAAATATCCTAGTATTACTATGAGAATAGTTTTGACTTCACGGGCCCTTTGAAAGGGTTTTAGGGGCTCCAAGTTAGGAGCTCCTACAAATTAGGAGCTACATGTTGAGAACCACCAGCCTGGGAAGTCAGGAGCACAAAGCTAAATGGTAAATGTTTCTTTATGCATTTTTTCTTTTCTTTTATATTATCTAATGTATTTTTATCGAAGATTGGAGGAGCAAGAAGGGTGTACGAAGATGGAAAGGATCTGCACCAGTTACTGAAGAGGATGATCAGAAACAGTGTCTTCTTTAGGGAGCCAGATTTACATAAGGACAAAATAGGAGTATGAAAAGAGGTTTAAGATGAACAAACGTTTGGGAATTATAGAATAGGGGTTTCCAAATGCACTTACTACCAGACTCAGTATGTTTATTATTTAGCTTTGATGATTTGCTTTCTATTTTTTTCTTCTTTCTTTTTCATCCTTTGTTATAAGGGATGAAGGAGAGGCCACAGCAAGACCAGGGCTCAGGGTAGTACAGGCTGAAGTGGACAGGGATGAGAGAACAAGAAAATAGTAGCAGGGAAAAGTGGGAAGCCCAGGCAGTCTATTACTTTAAATGGTCAGGACTGGGGAAAAAGGGAGTAGGAGTTTGCTGGTCTTACGACAGTGAAATATTGCAGAGTTAGTAAATGTTTGAGCTGGGACTTAGAACCCAGGTCTCTTTCCTTATCTCATCAGAACTTTCCTACTTTGTACTCTGTTGAGTTCCACTCACCTGTATGTATTCTTTTGTTAAGTGTTCTCTTTCCGAGGTATGATCTGTCTCCCCAATTAGATTGTAAACTCCCCCAGGATAGAGACCTCAGTCTTTTACTGTTTTCTTACTTCCATGGGGCCTAGGGATAAAAGTTGCCAAGAGCTGATTAGTTCTTGAGATTGAAGAGCTTCATGAAGATCTCTCCTTCTAGGAGTAACAAAAAGTCAATCAGTTTTACTGTACCACCATTAAAAGGATTTAAGTTGTCTACTGAAAACAAACATCAAAACAAGAGGCCTGCTTCTAATCAGCAAGGGCTTCAGAGCAAGGAGTAGTAGCATTGGGAACACAAGGTACACTTGCTAAGGGTGTTTCTATGCATGTTGATTATGTTTCGGTTTGGATAGAGCACTGGGCTTGGAGTCAAGAAGACCTACATTGAAATCTGGCTTCATACACTTACGAGTTGTGTGACCCTGGACAAATCACTTAATCCCTATTTGCTTCAGTTCCTCATCTGTAAAATGGTGACACATAGGAGGAGGAAATGGCAAGCCATTCTAGAAACTCTGCCAAGAAAACTCCATGGACAAAATAGTTCATGGGATCATGTAGAGTTGGACAGGACTGAATGGCTGAACAACAACATGTAAGAATGATTTGTTAGATTCTCAGTTTTAGGTGATCCTATGATCTATGGAGCATTAAAAATGAATGTTATTGATACTTTTTTTAAATATCGGTTTTTTCTCTATATAACCCTCATTCACCCTATCTCCACCCCAATCCCCCCTGAAGCCTCCCTTGTAACAACATCAGCCCCCATCTCCTCCCCCAAAAAAACAGGGAAGGGGTGGGGGGAAACTACCAAATACAGTGACCCTGTCTGACAGTGTATGTAATATTCTATCCTTGTAGTCTGTCAATACTACACCTCTCTGCCACAGGACATTTTTGATTCATGGTCTCAATTCAGTAGGGAGAAGTTCAATATCACTAATCCTATATATTTGATAAAGTAGCTTCTAATTGAAATTCCTTGACTTTTTTTTTTTTAAAGTGTGAGAGACCTCAAGCCAGACTCTATTCCTGGTAATACTTCATCTAGCAATTGTATAATGCCAGGAAATCCAGTGGTGACATTTGATAGCCAGCCACCTTTCAAGCTGTAATAGTCCGTCAGTCCTGTCACAGTGGAGAGTCAAGTGGCAAGAATTTCCTGTAAGTTGTCAAGGACAAGCCAGACAAACCCAATGAGGAAATAGAAGGCTTACCTTCCAACGTGGCTTTGGGTAACAGCTCCACAGTTAAGTGTCACTCAAAGTCTAACACCATATCACAAGGTGTGTTATAGTTAAAAGAACACTGGATGCGGCCCTTTGACTTGAATCCAAACCTCACAGAACAAATCTCCTTGCTCTGTGAAATTTGGATTCAGTCAAATGGCCATACTTGAAGACCTAGAGGGCCACATATGGCCTTGAGGCCACATGTTTCCCACCCCTGGACTCTAGAGTCAAATCCTGGCTCAACTACTAATTAACTATATAGGTAAGGGCAGCTAAGTGGCAAAGTGAACAGAGTCAAGAAAACTCCTTGTCCTGAGCGCAAATCTGGCCTCAGACATTTACTAGCTTTGTGACCTTCAGCAAGTCATTATTTAACCCTGTTTGCCTCAGTTCTTCATTAAAATGAGCTGAAGAAGGAAATGGCAAACAAATACAGTATCTTTGCCAAGAAAACCCCAAATAGGGTCACAAAGAGTTAGACATAACTGAAATGACTGAACAGCAACAGTTCTGTATTATCACAGCAAATTATCTCACCACCTCTATGAGTCTCAAAGGTTTCACTGGTAAAATGATGGTTGCTTTCCTATGTCTATTGGCTACTGCAAGGATAAAGATCTTCAGATGAAAGAGTACTTTAAGTGATAAAATAGTTCAATGAAAGCACATGGTGTTGTTATAATTATTACTAGAGGCTAAATCATCAGAGCCAAATGCATTTGAATGAAGACTTCCCATCAAAAAATTATTGTCCAGTTATTCTTGACATATTGACTTTGCAATATGTGATGTCCACATAGAGATGTCCAACAGAAGTTTAGTAAAGTTGGACTGAAGTTCAGAAAAGGGATGAGGGCTGAATAGGTAGACCCTGGCCCAGCTCCAAGTGGCTTATAAGAACTAACTGTTAAATTTTCAGTTTGTATATTTGCACCTCAGAAATTTGGTAAACACTATAGATCGGGCTTTGATTTATTTTGTTGATTGTCTAAACTTAAAAAAGTGATGGAGAAAATGTTAATAATGCAGATTAAACTTAAAAGTGCTTTGTGGGTACATCTCCTCCCCCCAGAGAGCCATTGTTAAATCTTTAACATAACATCTCTGCCCTGGAGTCCTCTTTGTGGAGATAATTGAACACATGAGAGTTGAGATCGCTAAGGTAGAAAGAAGAAGATACAGGACAAAGCTTGGGGAATACCCATACTCCTTGAGGGGGAAGAAGTGTGATGAACTAGACAACGAGGATGAGAACTAGAAGATCTAAAAACTAGAACTATGAACTAGAAAAAAAATAGAGAATTCAGACAGGTAGGAGGAGAATCAGAAGACAGCTGTGCCAACGGAGAAGAGTTCCCAGAAGGAGAAAGTGGTCAACAGTATAAAAAGCTGTAGGCAGGTCAAGAAGGATGTGCACTGAGAAAAGATCATTAGATTTTAACAGTTGAGACAATGATAGGATCATATATTTAGGAGTGAATGAAACTATACAGGTCATTTTGTGCAACCCTCTCGTTTCACAGACAAGATAAATGAAGCCGAGCCAAGTTAAGTGAGTTGCCCAAAGCCTGTGAGAAATAATTAGTGACATTAAAAAGAACAATTTCAGTATAGTAATGAATTTTTTCAAAAGACTAGATTGAAAGGGATTGAGAAATGAATGGGCAGTGAGAAAGTAGAGGCAGCTAGTGCTGATGATTTTCTACAAGTTTGGCAAAGAAAGAAAGAGCTATATGATAGCTTGAGAGTACAGCAGAGTCAAATGAAGGCTTTTTTCTAAGGGCTATGGAAGCACAGGCATATTTGTAGGTATTGGGGAAGGAGCTAGTAGATGAGACTGAAAAAGAAATATGGGGAGAGGTTTAATCAATAAAGTAAGCTCCTGGAGATGCACAAAGATGGATCAAGAATACAGGTAGAAAGGCTGGCCTTGACAATGGGAAGAATCACCTCTTCCTGAGAGACTGGATTAAGGAGAAGATAGATTAAGATGTAGAGGGGTTTTGAGATATGGGGAAATGAGGTAGTTCATGGTAGCTGGTCTCTATTATGCTAATTAAGTAGAAGGCAAGGTCCTCTGCTGAGAGACAAGAGGTCGAGGCTGGTATAAAAGGTTTGAGGACAGTTTTAGAACAGCCACTATGGGGAGCATGATAGAATGTCAACAAGGGATGACTAAAAAGGGCTAACTCAACAATGAAGACTCAGCTGAACTTAGACAATACAAATTTGAAGTGGGTCTACTTGGCGTGCCTGAATGTATGAACAGAATGTTTTGCAGCCTTTCACTCCAAATTAATGTAACTAAAAATGTTTTATATGCCCTAATACATTTATCAAGTGAGAATACCTCTTTGATTGAGCTACTTGGAATCAAAGGTGTAAAATAGGTATGAATAATTACTACATATTGAATCTCACATGATCAATCAAAGGCATAAACTAGGTAAGACCAACCTTGTTAATCAAGTTGGGAAGGAGCAAAGACATTAGATAAAATCAGATGATTAAAAGTATTGCGATTGGTTAAAAGAATTAGATCTGGCTCTAGGACTATGTTTATCAGAGAAGAAAACTTGAGTAGAAGCATTCCAATAATTGCTTTGGGACTCAAGCTTTGAGAGTTTGGAAGACAAACCTGTACCCAAGGGCAACAAGGGGGGAGGGAGAGATCCCAGGGGGAAGGTCACATGCAGCGTCAGACATCCCCACTCCCACTGACCATGTCATGGAACAGACTGGGTCAACAGAAAACAATGCTGAGGAAAGGCAACTTGTATGGCTTCTGAAAGTGCAGCTTGAGGACTCAATGAGGGCCTTCTCCCTCGAGCCCAGCAGAGAGCTACACCATTCAAAGGGAGATTCATGAGGACTCCATAGGAAGGAACAAAAGGACTTCAATCCATCCAGGACCTATGAGTTTTCCCTTTGCTACATGTGCTCTCTCTCTAAACTTGGACACACTTTCCCTGAGATTCTATATATCTAGCTATAGATATAGATAGATATCTGTAGGAGAATGCATACCAGACTTTTAGGGGAAATGCTTTGTACCAGTTGTCCTTACTACAACACCTTGCCTCTAACTAATTGGAAAATCAACTGGTGACTGAGAAAAAAATATTTGCAGAAAGTTTCTCTGAAGAAGATCTCATATCCAAAATACATAAGGAATTGATTCAAATTTATAATTAGAAAAAACCCACTACCAATAGACAGTCAAAGATAAGAGTAATTTTCAAAGGAAGAAAATCAAGTTACTAACAACCATATTAAAAAAATGTTCCAAATAACTAATCATTGGAAAAATACCCATTAAAACACTGCTGACGTTCCACCTCACACCCATCAGATCGGAAAAAATAACAAAAAAGGACAATCACAATTTTTGGAGAAGCTGAGGGAAAATGTACACATTAATACACTGTGGGTAAAGTTATGTGTCCAGATACTCTGGAAAATAATTTGAAACTATGTCTCAAAAGTCATTAAACTGTGCATACCCTTTGACCCATCAATACTACCACAAGGTCTATACCCCAAAGGGATCAAAGAAAAAGGAAATAGACCCATATGTACAAAAACATTTATAGTGACCTTTGCTGTAATGGCAAGAACCAAAAACTAAAGTGCCTATTGATTGGAGATTAGTTGAACAAATTATAGTACAGGAGTGTAATAGAATGTTATTGTAACTTAAATTATAAAAAGGATGGTTTCAGAGAAATGTAGCAAGACTTACTTGAATTAATGCAAAGTGAAGTGAGCAGAACTAAGAGAACAAAATGTACAATAACAATGTAAAGAAAAACAAAATTAAAAGACTTAAGAACTCTGATTTAAAAAAAAG